CCACCCCCCGGCGATGCAGAGTCAGGGAGAACAGGCGGAGAGCCTGGACTTCCACCCCACCTGGCGGTACCCAGGCGCCTGCCCCCTCCCCACTGCGGATGTCACAGGAGGCCACCACCCCGCAGTGCCAGTGGAGGCCAGGGAACCTGGACGTGCAGCCCCGTCCGGCAGCGATGAGGCGGCGTCTCCCCTCCCCAACAGGAGGCCGTGAGAGAAAGCCAGCTGAAGCAGAGGTCCAAGTAAGACTGAGGTTCTTGTAACATAATATGTCCAGGTTTCAATCAAAAATCACTCATCACACTGAGAGCCAGGAAGATCTCAAACCAAATGGAAAAAGACAAATGATGCCGACCCAGAGACATCAGCATTATCTGAGAAAATTTTAAAGCAGCCACATCATAAAAACGAAGTGGGAGGATCAGTAACTGATCTCAACACTGCCTATGAAGTCTGAGTCATCAAGACAGACAGGCAGACCACACAGAACAAAACAGGACCCAGAGACAGGCCCCCACAAAACACCTGCTCATTGTTGACAAGGGTACACAAGCAACGCAATGAAGGAAGGACAGCCTTGTCAACAGACAGTGCTGGGCAGCCGGGCACCTAGAGTGCACACCCCACACACATATTCACCTGGAATGGACCATGGGCTTATTAAACGTAAAGCATGAAACTACAAGGCGTTTACAAGAATCATAGGAGGACATCCGTGGGATCCAGGACTCGGCAAAGAGTGTGCAGATTAGCCACTAAAAGCACAATCCACAAAAGGAAAAAATGATGAACTGGAACCCATCGGAATTAAAAACCTTTTGCTCTGCTAAAGACCCTGTTACGAAGATGAGAAGACAAGCTATGGACTGTGAGCAAATATCTGAAAACCACACCAACAAACAAAACATACAAGAAACTCAACAATAAAACACACGCTCCCATTAGAAAGAAACATTTCACCAAAGAATGCACACAGATGGATGTTCCCCCGGGAAATGATGCCACTAGGGAAATAGGACTTAAAACCACGTGAGATTCCACCACACACCTACGAGAACGGCTAAAATAATGCCAACCCAAGGGCCAGCGAGGATGAGGAGAAACTGGATCACTCACACGCCGCTGGTGGGGATGTACAATGGTGTAGCCACTCTGGGAACCAGTCTGGTGGTTTCTTAAAACTAAACATGGGCATTTATTCCAGAGAAATGAAGACTTACGTTCACATAGAAAACGCACACAGGAACGTTGATAGCAACTTTATTCACAACAGCCCCAAACCGGAGACAACCCAGTGCCCTTCAGCAGGTGACTGGCCGAACACACTGCAGACCATCCACACCATGGAGCACCACGCGACAATGAAAAGCAACAAACTACTGACACACGCAGTAACCTGGATGGACCTCCAGAGAATCAGGCTGAGTGAAAAAGCCAGTCCCAAAGGTTATATACATTACAGCCCATGTATACAAAGGTGATCCTTGAGCAACACGGGTTTGAACTGCATGGGTCACTGAGACACAGATTTTTTTTCACTAAGCACAACCTACCCCACTGCATGGCCTGAGGTTGACTGAGTCCAAGGATGAGGATGCAGAGGGCCGACTATCAGTTACACGGGTTTCCGACTGCATCTCACGTCAGCACCCCAACCCCTGCGCTGTTCAAGGGTCGACTGTGTAACATTCTTGAAACGAGAAAACTGTAGAAATGGAGAGCAGAGCAGTGGTTGTGGGTGGGGAGGCAGCCCGGCCGTGACAGTGCGCGCTGTGTAAAGGGAACACGTTCTCCCCGCATTGTTTCTTACAGCTACGCGTGAACGTACGTTCTCTCAAGATAAAAAGGTCAATTTAAAAGCAGGCAGAAGAGGCACACAATCTAGTGGACAGTGCGCTGAGAGGCTGTGGCTTCCCTGGAGGTCTGGGACGAGGATGCCGTGCCTGCCGTGACAGTGACGGGGAGTCTGGGCACAGGAGAACCCTGCGCCGCCAGAGCTCACCTGGTTTGTAGGACACGCCTCGTTTTCCTGCTCTTTCATATTTAAGTTCTAGAAAAGGACAGGGAAAATGTCTCACGGTAGAAAATAATCAGGCTCTGCACAGTGTGGGTGGGTACACGTACATTAAAAGTGGAAAAGCCAGACACATACACACAATGGGATATTACTCAGCCATAAAAAGAAATGAAATTGAGCTATTTGTAATGAGGTGGATGGACCTAGAGTCTGTCATACAGAGTGAGGTAAGTCAGAAAGAGAAAGACAAATACCGTATGCTAACACATATATATGGAGTCAAAGAAAAGATAAATGTCTTGAAGAACCTAGGGGTAAGACGGGAACAAAGACACAGACCTACTAGAGAATGGACTTGAGGATATGGGGAGGGGGAAGGGTGAGCTGTGACAAAGCGAGAGAGAGGCATGGACATATACCCACTAGCAAACGTACGGTAGATAGCTAGTGGGAAGCAGCCGCATGGCACAGGGAGATCAGCTCGGTGCTTTGTGACCGCCTGGAGGGGTGGGACAGGGAGGGTGGGAGGGAGGGAGACGCAAGAGGGAAGAGATATGGGAACATACGTATAACTGATTCACTTTGCTATACAGCAGAAACTAACACGCCATTGTAAAGCAATTATACTCCAATAAAGATGTTAAAAAAAAGAAGAAAAGTGGAAGCCAGAAATCTGTTGCCGAGCAGAAGCCAATATTTTCAGCCTCTACAAATGCCAACTCTCGTACCAAAGGTTATAA